TTTTTTGGTACTGGGGATTGAATTTTGGACCTTGAGCTTGGGAGGCAGGCAGCAGAACCACTGAGCTAAATCCCTGGCCCCAAATAAATAAATAATTTTAAAAACCTTCAAATCTCCAATTTAACAAGACTGTTTTGGAGACCAGACCCTCGCTAAGCTGCCCAGGCTGGGGTTGTCGAACTTGCGATCTTCCTGCCTCAGCCTCCCAGAGTGCTGGGATTACAGGTTAATTAGACTTTTAAATCATGACCCTCCCAGGGTTGACCCAGTTGTGAGCAAAGGGACTGATAGTTTCATTCTGGCCTCTTCTCTGGGAGACCCAAGCTCTGGAGCCTGCAGCCAGGCTTCTCCCCTGGATTCTTGGGCTCAGAACCGGTTCTTCAGCCTAAAGTTGACTGAGCAGAAATGCAGTCAGCTTTCCCTTGGGGGCTTCAGCAGCTTGCTGGGGTGTCTCTGGCATGTTCTGATTCACAGGAGAGCAAAGGGGTCCTCTGCCCCTGGTTCACATGGACAGTCTCCCTCCCTCCCTTCTTGGTGTTGAACTTGGGGCCTTTGTACTGAGCTACACCCCCTCCCTTTATTTTATTTTATTTTATTTTTAAATTTTGAGACAGGGTCTTATTTAGATGTTGAGTTGCCTTGGCTGGCCTCAAACTTGGAGTCCTCCTGCATCATCCTCCCAGAGCACTAGGATCACAAGTATTCGCCATCATGGCCAGCTCTGCATAGTCTTGGATGTCCTTCTTCAGGAAGTTTCCTGCCTCAAGCTGAGGACTCCAGCCCTTGCAGGAGGTATAAATAGACCTATAAATAGACAGGGGCCCTGGCTTCTGGCTTTCCCGCCCACAGTGCCTGGCCTGAGGCAGGGCTCTCTCGCGTGTTCGGGACTCAGGACTCCAGCTGCTCTCCAGGAGGAAGAAAGAGTCACTTTTTAAATTAAGCCAAGTGACAATGCCTTTCCTTCCTTCTGTCCCGGCTCCCCTGCTGGGCAGAGATGAATCCCCAAGGCCCTAGAAGGGTGGGGCCTGAGGATTCAGGAGGACAGCAAGGAGCCCCTTCCTCTGTCTGCCACCCACACTTCCTTTCTGCCCTGTTCTGCCGGCCTGCAGGTGCCCCTGCTTCCCTTTCCATCCAGGCCTAGAAGATGCAGTTGGCCTGGAATGACAAGGAGAAATGTTTGGTTTGCCTTGGTTTTGGCCTTTGGAGTCAGGGTCTCACCATGTAGTTCAGGCTGGCCTTGAACTCAGTGATCCTCCTGTCTCTGCCTCTGGAGTGCTGGGATTACTGGTGTGCCACCACACCCAGCAGGATAAATATTTTACAGCCAATCTAAAACAGATGTTTTCTATCTATCCAGTTCCATGAACATTGCATACATAAACAGGCTCCTCCAGTTTCTCCATATTTGGGGGTTATCTGATGTTAAATAAAAGTTACAGGAGTTGTGTACCTCCTGCAGTCCAAGCTACTGGAAGCCTGAGGCAGGAGGATCATTTGAGCCCAGGAGTTTGCCCAGCCTGGGCAACATAATAAAACTTGACTTGAAAAATAAAGAAGTAGATTGGGGCTGCAGCTCAGTGGTAAAGTGCTTGCCTGGCATGCACATAGGTCTGGGTTTGATCCCCAGTACTGCAAACTAAATCAGTAAAATGATAGGAGGCCATTGTTTCAGACCAGGCTCCTTGACCGGGCCCTAATAGACCTGGCTGAAAACTCAGAACAGAATCACTCACGTTAAAATTTCAAGCCACTCACCAAGCTAAATTGTTTATCTGACCTTCAGGAAATCAGGATTAGAGAGCTGACGGTCAGATTTCCCAAGCAGGCCAGTTTTGATCAACTATGAAACAGCATGACCTAGAGTAGCTCATGCCAGTTGGTTGTTCTGTCATTCGTTCTGCCTCCCCGTCTCTGCCACACAAGGAATGTAACTTGAAGGTGAAGTCTGCCTCCTGTTCTTGGGTTTCTGCTTCCTTCTCCTCTGTCTCTGAAACCAGCCTCCTGCCCATGGAGTAGTTTGTGTTTTTAGAGCGAAGTGTTGCCCAGGTCTAGAATGGAAGATAAAGCCAATTAGGACCTTTCAGTGAAGGCATTGTCATTCTGTCCTTGGACAGCATGAGGACAGCCCAGCCAAGACAGGGTGGCTGGCAGAGCCTTTCATCCTTCTGGGTCCTAGAGCACAGAGCCTGGGACCTGTGGGTTTTCCTGGGACCACAGAAGCCTTGGAGAGTGGCAAACCCAGGCCCAGCTCCGTCTGCTGGCAGGAGTTGGGTGGAAATGACTTAGCAGGCCAGTGGCAGAACATGCGCTCATGCACACACACACACACACACACACACAAACACACAGTAGACGAGAGATGTGGCTGCTTCTGTGTAGCTGAGAGGCTGTGTGGGGCCAGGGCGGCATCGAAAGCCCCTCTGCCAGCAGTGAGTGGCCTGTCTGATGGCCCAGACGGGTTCTGACCCTGTCCAGAGTTTGATGCTGAGGCTGGAACACGGGCGGAGGTGCAGGCAAGTGTGTGGACAGGGACTGGGAGAGAGCGGAGAGCCAGCAGCAGAGCCAGGTCTCAGGAGTCAGGCCCGAGAGGATGAGAGGATGTTCTGGGTCATGGAGTTGGAGACAAGAAGGCAGGGGGCTGAGGGGGCCTGGAGCAGTTGGCCACCACGCGCAGTGGACTCTTCCTCGTGGGCGCTGATTCCAGCCCCCATCGGTATGGTCACCCCTGGGGACTCAGGTGGTTGAGTCGAGGACCATCTGTGGACAGTCATGCTCCTTACATAAAATGGTGCAGCTGGGCACAGTGTGCACACCTGTAATCCCAGCTACATGGGAGGCTGGGCGGGGGGTTTAGCTCAGTGGTTCTGCCGCCTGCCTCACAAGCGCAAGGTCCTGAGTTTGATCCCCAGTACCAAAAAAAAAGTTAATTACATGGGAGGGTGAGACAGGGAGGTCCCAAGTTTGAGGCCAGTCTGGGCAATTTAGTTAAGACTTTCTCAAAATTTTAAAAAAGTAAATAAGAAGGTTGGGATGTAGGTCAATGGTAGAGGGCCCTGGGTTCAATCCCTGCTACCACTAAATAGCATAATATTTACATAAAATGTATGTTCTTTAATATAGTTTAAATCATCTCTAGGTTATTTATAATACCTACAATGCATATACAGTATAAATGCAATGCAAATAGTTGTTATGTTCTCTCGTTTAGGGAATAGCGACAAGAAATAAAGTGTACATGATTTTTTGTTGTCTTTTTTTTTTTTTTGATACTGAGCATTGAACCCAGAGTCTTTGCACTGAGCTATGTCCCCAGCCCTTTTAAAATTTTTAAGTTTTATTTATTTATTTATTTTTGCTACCAGGGATCAAACTCAGGACTTTGGGCTTTCAAGGCAGGTGGCGGCACCACTGGGCTAAATCCCCAGCCCTAAATTTTCTTTTTTTCGTATATCCTTTTATTGGTACATTTTAGGTGTACAATATAATGACATTGGGCCGGGGTGGCTGCCCTGCAGGCTGTGAGGACTGCAGTTAAGGAGGCGCTGTGGGGAACGTGGCCACGCTGGCTGGCCCTTGGGTAGTGCTGCAGCGCCTGCCATAATGACCATTGCTCGAAGCACTGCCTGGCTTGGCCCAGTGGGGCGGGGTTTGGAGATTTGGCTGGAATTTGGATGGGTGACCTCAGGACAGTTTCCTGATCCCCACCTCATCCCCCAAGCAAGGTGCTGGGCCCTACAAACCTGTCTTTCAGCGGGCGTCAGGCGGCCTCAGGTGGAGGAGGTTGGAGTGGAATTTGTTAATTAAGCCGGTTGCTCCTGAGGCCCAGAGGCCGGGAGGTTGTTGCAGTTTAATTACTGAGAACTGGGGGGTGGAAATTCTCTCTGGTGCCCGTTTCTGATGTGTCTGGAGGACCCAGGATGCCACCTCAGCCTCGCCCACTGCCCTGTCCCTGACTCTGATCCCAGTCTTACATCTTTACTTACATGCTTGTAGGAGCGTGTAGGACCAGGGTTCAAATCCTGCTTCGGTCTGGGTCAGCCTGGTGGTTGTAGGAGAGCCTTGTCCCCTCCTTCGCCCCTGTGTCTTTATTGTGAAGCCTGGCAGGGATGCTGGTGCTGAAGACTAGTGTTGGTTATTTGAAGGATTGAAAAGAGCAAGGCAATAGTGAGCCAGGGTACAAGTGAGCAGTTAGTTTCATTTCGTTTCATTTCATTTCTTTTCCTTTCCCTTCCCTTCCCTTCCTCTTTCTTTCTCTTTCTTTTTCTTTCTTTTCTCTCTCTTTCTCTCTCTCTCTCTCCCTCCCTTCCTTCCTTCCTGTTTATTTGTGTGTTTTTTGAGACAGGGTCTTGCTATATCGTTCAGACTGGTCCTGAGCTCACTGTGTAGCCCAGGCTGCCCTCAACCTTGCAGTGATCCTCCTGCCTCAGCATCCTTCCTGAGTGCTGGGATTACAGGTGTGCATCACCACATCTGGCTAGCTGTTTCTTTTCTTTTTTGGTACCGGGGATGGAACTCAGGACCTTGTGCTTGTGAGGCAGGCGCCGGAACCACTGAGCTAAATCCCCGGCCCAATGGGGATTTAGCTGTTTTAGCTGATTTTTAGCTGTTTCTTGAAAGCATGATTCTCAACCTGGGAGCTGTGGCAGTGTTAGAAGACAATTTTGGTCCCCATAGCTGGACAGAGGTACTCCTGACCTGTATTGGGTAGAGTCCACACTGCTGACCCCCGGCCAAGCACAAGGCAGCCCCGGCACACGGAAGGATCCGGTGTGAATGGCTGTTGTGCTGAAGTTGGGCACTGCTGTGAACTGTCCCGGGGACAGGGATGCTCTGGGGCACAGGTCTCCCCTCCCTGGCTCTTCACTCTTTCACTCCTGTGAGCCAGCTGGGGCCGAGGGTGAACTGGAGGGAAGAGAGAAGGAAAGGAAGCGGGGCTCTTTGAACTTGATGCTTGCTGTTCCTCTGTCTCCTGTGTCTCCTCTTGTCCTTAGTGCATGACCCGGCACTTTCTGAGGGCCTGCTGTGGACCAGGGGCCACGCCACGCGTCCTGGCCTCCCTCTCAGTCCTGCCGCCCCTCATCCCACTTGCTCCTTTCCCTCTGTGACATGAGCCCCACAGTGGGTTGCACTTCCCACAGCCTGACTGCTCTACCAGCCAGGCCGTCCCCTGGCTCCTCTCCCCAGAGGTCCCCACACCTGACCTGCCGCCACCTGGGAGGCCTGGTCAGTTACCACATCTGGGTCAGGCACAGAGCCCTCCAAGTGCTCGCTGCAGCCTGTGCTCCCTGAAGGACAGGTCGGCTCATGGCGTCTTGGGCCCAGCTGTCTCCCTGTCCTTCAGGCCAGCAGCTGTGACGCTGTCCAATGGGTCAGGCTGCCAGCTCAGAGTCCCCTTGTCCTCCATCATGGTGCCTGAGGCGCCTCGTCCTGGGGGTGACTGGGCTGGTGACCCCTCAGCACAGGGGTCCCTCTGTGTTCTCCAAGCCTGCCATGATTGTCTGTGCTCTGTCTTCCTTTCTCTCACCCAGTAAACTCCTATTCATCCTTCAAGACCTAGCTCCTGTGACTTCTCTCTGGAGCCCTGGGCAGCAAGTCCCTCTCCTCCTGCTCTACTATTACTGTGCTGGGTTAAGGCTGTAGGTTTTCCCCTCCGGCCTTGGAGCCCGTGTCTGATTGTGCTGGGCAGCCCAGGAGTGTCTGGGTTTTAGCCTGACTGATGTGTCCTTTTGGGCCGTCATAGTGTTGTCTTCATCCAGGTTTTTCTGCCATGCACTGCGGCTCCTTGTCTTAGCCTCCTCCTATATCCTTGTCCTTGTGCCTGGCACAGGGCCATGTGTACCTAGGATGGTTTGGTGACTTCTTGAGTCCAGAGTCTCAGTGCTGGGCCCTTGGCAGTTTGGGAGGCGCCGTGACTCCTTTTTGCATTTAGGAGCAGCTGTCTAAGGTGTGGGTTCCAGGACGGGGCTTCCCATTCCAGAAAACTCACCTCTGTGGCAGAGTAGTCAACCAGGTATGGCCCCAGAGCTTCTGTCCCAGCCCCAGGCCACAAAGCCAGCTTGGTGAGGCGTGGCCCAGACAGTGGCTTCAGAGGACAGTGGCCGGCCGCAGTCGAACACTGGTCATGGGCGCAGGACGGAAGGTGGAGCCAGCACCTGAGTGCTGCTGTCTGACGCTGCCCCAGGCCCCAGGCACCTCGAGCCTTAGTTGCTCTCTGTCACCCTGAAACAGTTACCTGGGTGTAAATGACCTGTGGAGCTGCCGCTGGGGATCCTATACTGTCCGCCCTCTGACTCCTGCCCCTAAGTTGGGGACATAGGGCTCCTCTCTGCTCCGTGGAGGGCCCGGGCCGTATGGATGAGGGACAGTGGCTGTACTGGCAGCTGGAGAACTGAGGCCTTCGGAATGGGAGAGGGTGCTTTTCATCTCCTGCTGCAGGACCTGGGCCTTGGGCACAGAGTTCCCCAGGGTTCCTTGGTATTTCCGTGCTTTGATATTGGAGGAATAAAGAGCAATTAATTGCTATAAATGGCTGCTCCTGTAGGGCTGGCCTGATGGGGGGTGATGGCTCCCCTGCCTCGGGGCCATCACTGCTCAGAGGTGGACGCAGGACAGGGACGGGCTGCTTAGAGACACCTGGCTTCCTCAGGCCCTGTGTGTGCTCTTGGCAGGAGCCTGAGGACTGAGGAGGCCAGTGCCTCCCTCTCATCCATGTTCCTCCCAGGGGCCCAGGGCCCAGAGGCCACCGCCAGGCCTGTCCTCCTGGGCCACAGAGGACTGTGTGGCCTGCAGCAGCCCCGCCCCTCGGGGGCCACACCCCCACCAGGTTAGGCCTCAGGTGTGACCCTGGTGGCAGGTGAGGAGCGGGGTGAGTGTGGAGAGGTGTGGGTTGGGAGCTGAGGTTTGCGTGGTGTTTGAGGGTTGAGACATCTGCTGTCACCGAGTGATTCACTCTGGTCCCCTCTGACTAACCCAGGGGAGGAGCTGGGTGCTCGCAGGCTGCTGACAGGCTCCCAGCGCAGTCACAGCGGGTTCTGGACCTGCCTGACTGCAGGTCTGTCTGGACTGTGGTCGCCCTGGCCATGAGCTTCCCTCGGCGTCCCGTCCCTCGGCAGGGCATGCGCCAGGTGGCTCCTCTGTGACCGTGCTCTGTGTTCCCACAGGGCAGCAGCCTCCTCCTCCCGGCCGGAGCCTGAGCCTCACAGCAGGGCACCTGTGTGCCCAGAGCTAACTTCAGAGCAGGTAAGGGCCTCAGCGAGGGCACTGTGGTGCAGCCTCCGGTGGTGCTGGCGGGGCTTGTCTCACTCCCTGCCTGTGTTTCTCCATGATGCCCATTTTAAGCTCAAGGTTTCTTTCCCTTTTTCTTTTTTTTTTCCTTCTTTATTTAGTTCTGCAGATTGAACCCAGGGCCTTCACACTGAGCTATTATATCACCAGCACTTTTTATTTTGAGACAGGGTCCTGCTAAATGATCCTCCAGCCTCAGCCTCCCACAGCTCTGTGATTGCAGGGACAGACCTCTGTGCGGGGTTGAGACCCCCTCCCTCCC